TGAGCCAAGGACTGGAAGGAAGGAAGGAAGGAAGGAAAAGGTTGGATATGGTGAGGTGCTCTTCCGAGCCTTCCCACCTACCCCATCACCCCAGCCTAAAGGCCTTTCTATCTACTCTTTCCTCACAACAGTTCAGGGCAAAGGGTATTATCCCCATTTTATAGATGGGGAAACTGAGGCTCAGGGAAGAGAAAGAGCTTGCTCAAGGTCACACAGGAAATCAATGGCTGAGCTGGAATGGCACCCAGGTTCTTCTGACTTTCAGCCTGGGGGAGGCCCACTCTGGCTCAGTCCTAAGGGAGGACCATTGCTGGAGGTGGAAGAGGAGGAAAATGAATAAGCATTTTTATAGTACCTACTGTGTGCCAGGCACTGTGCTAAGCACTTTACAAATACTGTCTCATCTGATCTTCACAACAACACTGCAAAGTAGGTGTTATTATTATCCCCATTTTCCAGCTGAGGAAACTGAACAGACCCAGGTTAAGTGACTTGCCCAAAGTTACACAGCTAGTAAGTGTCTGAGGCTGCATTTGAACTCAGGTCTTCCTGAATCTAGGTCCAGTGCCCCACCACTATATCACCTAGCTGCTTCAGCAGAGAGGAATTAAAGATCAATTTGGTGGAAGGGGGGAATCAGAGATGAGAGAGATTAATGTTGGGGGAGAGGATGGAGAGATGGGATGGGGGTCAGGGATGTAGGAGGCCAATGACAGGGGTGGAGATGTCAGTGCTGAGGATGAGGATGGAGGAGATGAGGTGGATAAGAGATGGGCCTGGGAGGTTAGGGATGAAGAGGCCCTCACCTTGCGGCTGCAGTACTCTAACACCAAATAGACATTGTCCTGGTCAGCAAAGTGCCCATGGAAGCCAACCACATTCCGGTGCCTCAGCTGGCTATGGAGCTCAATCTCCCGTTCCACCTGCCGGCGAGAAGGCAGCCCCCTCTGTGGGGCAGAAAGAGAAGCATGATGGGGCTGGGGGAAGAATTGAGGAGGCTGGAAACCGGGAGGTCAGGGATGAGGAAGATTTGGGCGTCAGGATGAAAATAAAGGAATCAGTGATAGGAATGGAGATCTGTGATGACACTGGGGCTGGGAGAGTCATGGATAGGGGAGATCAGGGATGAGGGTGAAGGGAAGTCAGGGATGGAAACAGGATCAGTGATGGGGATGGGGTCAGGGGATTCATGGAGGAGGGAGATCAGTGATGAGGGAATAAAGGACGGGCAAGTTAGGGATGGAGGAGCTTAGTGGTGAGGTGAATGTAGTCAGGGATGAGGATGATAGGGGACATCAAAGATTAATGAATATATAGGAAGACAAGTGACCAAGAGTCAGAAATGGGGCAGATTAGTAATGGAAATGGGGTATTAGGAATAGGAGAGATAAGCGATGGGAACGATGGAAGTGATCAATGGAGAGATCAGTGATGAGAACGGGAAATCAGGGATGATGGAAATCAGGGATAGGGAAAACAGGGATCGAGGTGGGTGTGTTAGGGATGGAAATACTTCCGATAAGGATGAAGATCAGGGTTAGGAAACTAGGGATTTAGGATTATGGATGGGAATCAGGGATGAGGATGGGAGCCAGACATAGAGTTGGCGGAAAGGATCAAGGTTCGAAGTCTCTGAAAAGGGGCAGGCTGTGTTACCTTCTCCCACTGGTCCAGCCCACTGAGTCTTCCCCGGGGCACCACCTTGAGGGCGAAGACTCTGTTGGTCGACATGTCCGTCAGTTTGTAGCATCTACCAAAGGCACCCTGTGTGTCACAGGAGACATGAGACACATTATAAGCATCCCAGACACCACTCACTCAGACCCTTCCTAGGACCCGGCCTCAGTTGCTTCCCAACCTCTGACCTCAAGCAGGTGCCTACTTGGGGAGGGAGGAAGGAGGAGGGCTCATGCACACACAAGCACATTTGCTCAAGTACTAGTCTCTGCACTTCCCCCACTGCCCATTTATACCTGTACAGGTCTTCCCAGGGTCCCCTACCTGGACAGCTGTGGGCTTGGGCCTTTTACCTAACCACCTACATGTGTATCATCCCTCCTCCACACACACACACACACACACACACACACACACACACACACACACAC